AGACCACACACACACCCACACGCACACACACACACACACACACACGACACACACACACACACACAGACACACCCGCACACACACACACAACACACACAGACACACACACACAGCACACACAGCACACACACACAACACACACACACGACACACACAACAACACACACACACACACACAGACACACACACACACACCACACACACAGACACACACACACACAGCACAACACACACGCACACACACAGACACACACACACACACACACAGACACACACACACACACACACACAGACCACACACACACACACACAGAGAGACACATACAAAGACACTCACTTCCTGTGTGTGTGTGTGTGTGTGTGTGTGTGTGTGTGTGTGTGTGTGTGTGTGTGTGTGTGTGTGTGTGTGTGTGTGTGTGTGTGTGGTGTGTGTGTGTGTGTGTGTGTGTGTGTGTGTGTGTGTGTGTGTGTGTGTGTGTGTGTGTGTGTGTGTGTGTGTGTGTGTGTGTGTGTGTGTGTGTGTGTGTGTGTGTGTAGCCCACAGAGGAGCTGTCAGAGCTGCCTCTGAGAGTCTCTGAGATCAGCAGAGAGCAGAGACAGAGAGGACTGCTGGCCAATGGGACGCGTGAGTTCATTATCACTATTACTACTGTTAGTATTACTGTTATTAACATTGAGACTAACCTGAGACACCCCTTAGACTAACCTGAGACACCTCTTAGACTAACCTGAGACACCCCTTAGACTAACCTGAGACACCCCTTAGACTAACCTGAGACACCCTTAGACTAACCTGAGACACCTCTTAGACTAACCTGAGACACCTCTTAGACTAACCTGACCTGAACCCTCTTAGACTAACCTGAGACACCCCTTAGACTAACCTGAGACACCCCTTAGACTAACCTGAGACACCCCTTAGACTAACCTGAGACACCTCTTAGACTAACCTGAGACACCTCTTAGACTAACCTGAGACACCTCTTAGACTAACCTGAGACACCTCTTAGACTAACCTGAGACACCCCTTAGACTAACCTGAGACACCTCTTAGACTAACCTGAGACACCCCTTAGACTAACCTGAGACACCCTCTTAGACTAACCTGAGACACCTCTTAGACTAACCTGAGACACCTCTTAGACTAACCTGAGACACCTCTTAGACTAACCTGAGACACCTCTTAGACTAACCTGAGACACCTCTTAGACTAACCTGAGACACCTCTTAGACTAACCTGAGACACCTCTTAGACTAACCTGAGACACCTCTTAGACTAACCTGAGACACCTCTTAGACTAACCTGAGACACCCCTTAGACTAACCTGAGCCTCACCTCACCTGAGCCTCACCTGAGACTCACCTGAGCCTCACCTGAGCCTCACCTGAGCCTCACCTGAGCCTCACCTGAGACTCACCTGAGCCTCACCTGAGCCTCACCTGAGCCTCACCTGAGCCTCACCTGAGACTCACCTGAGCCTCACCTGAGACACACCTGAGACTCACCTGAGACTCACCTGAGACTCACCTGAGCCTCACCTGAGCCTCACCTGAGACTCACCTGAGACACACCTGAGACTCACCTGAGACTCACCTGAGCCTCACCTGAGACACACCTGAGACTCACCTGAGCCTCACCTGAGACTCACCTGAGACACACCTGAGACTCACCTGAGCCTCACCTGAGCCTCACCTGAGACTCACCTGAGCCTCACCTGAGACTCACCTGAGACACACCTGAGACTCACCTGAGACTCACCTGAGCCTCACCTGAGACACACCTGAGACTCACCTGAGACTCACCTGAGACACACCTGAGACTCACCTGAGACTCACCTGAGCCTCACCTGAGACACACCTGAGACTCACCTGAGACTCACCTGAGACTCACCTGAGACTCACCTGAGACTCACCTGAGCCTCACCTGAGCCTCACCTGAGACACACCTGTGTTCTCCAGATGCCGAGCTGGAGCAGATAGACTTCATTGACAGCTGTGTGGAGGAGGAGGAGGAGGAGGAGGGGAGGAGTCGAGCAGCAGCAGGTGAAGGAGCAGCAGGTGAAGGAGCCAGCCTCAGCTCCCAGTTCATGGCCTACATCGAGAGGCGCATCACCAGAGAGGTACGCCCACTCATTTCTTCTTCTCATCTCTTGAAGGTAATGACAGCTGTCTCTCCGTCAGAGCAGTGTCTCCTGACTGCAGCCTCCATCTTGTTTCATACATCATATGTGTGTGTGACTTCCTGTCTGCAGGGGTCTCCAGGACACAGCAGCTCGAGGACAGAAGACACGCGGAGACACAGCAGGTAGAAACATCACGGATACACCTGTGATCATCTCACCTGTCTCTCACCTGTCTCTCACCTGTCTCTCACCTGTCTGTCTCACCTGTCTCTCACCTGTCTCTCACCTGTCTGTCTCACCTGTCTCTCACCTGTCTCTCACCTGTCTCTCACCTGTATGTCTCTCACCTGTATGTCTCTCACCTGTCCTCTCACCTGTCTCTCACCTGTCTCTCACCTTCTCTCACCTGTCTCTCACCTGTCTCTCACCTGTATGTCTCTCACCTGTCTCTCACCTGTCTCTCACCTGTCTCTCACCTGTATGTCTCTCACCTGTATGTCTCTCACCTGTATGTCTCTCACCTGTATGTCTCTCACCTGTATGTCTCTCACCTGTCTCTCACCTGTCTGTCTCTCACCTGTCTCTCTCTCACCTGTCTCTCACCTGTCTGTCTCCTCACCTGTCTGTCTCTCACCCTGTCTCTCTCTCCACCTGTCTCTCACCTGTATGTCTCTCACCTGTCTCTCACCTGTCTCTCACCTGTCTGTCTCTCACTCACCTGTCTGTCTCTCACCTGTCTCTCTCTCACCTGTTCTCTCACCTGTATGTCTCTCACCTGTCTCTCACCTGTCTCTCACCTGTCTGTCACCTTGTCTCTCACCTGTCTCTCACCTGTCTCTCACCTGTAGGTCTCTCACCTGTCTCTCACCTGTCTCTCACCTGTATGTCTCTCACCTGTCTCTCTCTAACCTATTTGTCTCACCTGTCTCTCACCTGTCTGTCTCTCACCTGTCTCTCACCTGTCTCTCACCTGTATGTCTCTCACCTGTCTGTCACCTGTCTCTCACCTGTCTCTCACCTGTCTCTCACCTGTATGTCTCTCACCTGTCTCTCACCTGTCTCTCACCTGTCTCTCACCGTCTGTCTCTCACCTGTCTCTCACCTGTCTCTCACCTGTCTCTCACCTGTCTCTCAACCTGTCTGTCACCTGTCTCTCCCCTGTCTCTCACCTGTCTCTCACCTGTCTCTCACCTGTCTCTCACCTGTCTCTCACCTGTCTCTCACCTGTCTGTCTCTCACCTGTCTCTCACCTGTCTCTCACCTGTCTCTCACCTGTCTCTCACCTGTCTCTCACCTGTCTCTCACCTGTCTCTCACCTGTCTCACCTGCAGGAGTGTGGTGGACGGTGTCACAGCGCCCTCTGGTGCCCACAGTCAGGTAACACCTCTCTGTTCACATGGAGCTGCCTAAATAAAATATAAATAAATACAAAATGCTACTTTAATAATATAACTAATATTTGAAATGAATGTGTTTGCTGTGTCCCTCAGAGAGGGGTGGGGGGCGTGGGAGGGGTGGGGGGCGTGGAGCGGGTGAGGCGGGAGGCTCACCTGGCGGCGCTCAGGTACGACGAGGAGAGACAGAAGAGCAAGACAAAGGTACCTTATTATGACCTTTAACCTTTGCAGTGTTTACTAAAAGAACATGTATGTAGGGGCGACCTCACCTCCTCTAGGGGGGACCTCACCTCCTCTAGGGGGGGTCCTCTCTAGGGGGGACCTCACCTCCTCTAGGGGGGACCTCACCTCCTCTAGGGGGGACATCACCTCCTCTAGGGGGGACCTCACCTCCTCTAAGGGGGTCCTCTCTAGGGGGGACCTCACCTCCTCTAGGGGGGATCTCACCTCCTCTAAGGGGGTCCTCTCTAGGGGGGACCTCACCTCCTCTAGGGGGGGACCTCACCTCCTCTAGGGGGGTCCTCTCTAGGGGGGACCTCACCTCCTCTAGGGGGGGACCTCACCTCCTCTAGGGGGGACCTCACCTCCTCTAGGGGGGTCCTCACCTCCTCTAGGGGGGTCCTCTCTAGGGGGGGACCTCACCTCCTCTAGGGGGGACCCTCACCTCCTCTAGGGGGGACCTCACCTCCTCTAGGGGGGGACCTCACCTCCTCTAAGGGGGTCTTCTCTAGGGGGGACCTCACCTCCTCTAGGGGGGATCTCACCTCCTCTAGGGGGGACATCACCTCCTCTAGGGGGGACATCACCTCCTCTAGGGGGGGACCTCACCTCCTCTAGGGGGGACCTCACCTCCTCTAGGGGGGACATCACCTCCTCTAGGGGGGGACCTCACCTCCTCTAAGGGGGTCCTCTCTAGGGGGGACCTCACCTCCTCTAGGGGGGATCTCACCTCCTCTAAGGGGGTCCTCTCTAGGGGGGACCTCACCTCCTCTAGGGGGGGACCTCACCTCCTCTAGGGGGGTCCTCTCTAGGGGGGACCTCACCTCCTCTAGGGGGGGACCTCACCTCCTCTAGGGGGGACCTCACCTCCTCTAGGGGGGTCCTCACCTCCTCTAGGGGGGTCCTCTCTAGGGGGGACCTCACCTCCTCTAGGGGGGACCTCACCTCCTCTAGGGGGGACATCACCTCCTCTAGGGGGGGACCTCACCTCCTCTAAGGGGGTCTTCTCTAGGGGGGACCTCACCTCCTCTAGGGGGGATCTCACCTCCTCTAGGGGGGTCCTCACCTCCTCTAGGGGGGTCCTCTCTAGGGGGGACCTCACCTCCTCTAGGGGGGACCTCACCTCCTCTAGGGGGGACATCACCTCCTCTAGGGGGGGACCTCACCTCCTCTAGGGGGGTCCTCTCTAGGGGGGACCTCACCTCCTCTAGGGGGGTCCTCTCTAGGGGGGACCTCACCTCCTCTAGGGGGGACCTCACCTCCTCTAGGGGGGTCCTCACCTCCTCTAGGGGGAACCTCACCTCCTCTAGGGGGGTCCTCACCTCCTCTAGGGGGGTCCTCACCTCCTCTAGGGGGAACCTCACCTCCTCTAGGGGGGTCCTCACCTCCTCTAGGGGGGACCTCACCTCCTCTAGGGGGGACCTCACCTCCTCTAGGGGGGTCCTCACCTCCTCTAGGGGGACCTCACCTCCTCTAGGGGGGTCCTCACCTCCTCTAGGGGGAACCTCACCTCCTCTAGGGGGGTCCTCACCTCCTCTAGGGGGGTCCTCACCTCCTCTAGGGGGAACCTCACCTCCTCTAGGGAAAATGTGAAATTTCCCTTCATATATTTTTTTTAATTCCCAAACCCTACATTCCTGAGAGATCATTTTTCATGACAAACGTAGGAAAACATCTCGTAGCTTGACAAAGAATGACCAAAATGCCTCTTGAGAGCACGAAGAGACAACACGTTCAACATGTCTCCATTAAAGCCCATTGTAATTTCAGGCAGATATTTCCTCACAGCAGCAGCCGCACACCTTTCTTAAACTGCCAAAAAGGCCACATTATTAACCTGAAAGTACACAAAAATTACACTTCAGATTCTCAACTTCCTTCACATGCTTCACGTTTTGAAATGTCACAGATATCTGTTATCGTTCTTCCACAAAACGTTCACATGTTAGAGGTTCATCTCTCATTCAGAACTATGCAATTAGAGAATTGAGAAACCTTCACTAACTGTTGTTGTTTATTCACAGCCGAACACAACGCAGAGCCCAACAAAGTCAGACAGTGAGGTGAGACCACACACACACACACACACACACACACACACACACACACACACACACACACACACACACACACACACACACACACACACACACACACACACACACACACACACACACACACACCTGGTGCTCTCTCCTGACCTCACCTGGTGCTCTCACCTGACCTCACCTGGTGCTCTCACCTGACCTCACCTGGTGCTCTCACCTGACCTCACCTGGTGCTCTCACCTGACCTCACCTGGTGCTCTCACCTGACCTCACCTGGTGCTCTCTCCTGACCTCACCTGGTGCTCTCTCCTGACCTCACCTGGTGCTCTCACCTGACCTCACCTGGTGCTCTCTCCTGACCTCACCTGGTGCTCTCACCTGACCTCACCTGGTGCTCTCTCCTGACCTCACCTGGTGCTCTCACCTGACCTCACCTGGTGCTCTCTTCAGTACTGAATGTATGTAAGTCGCTTTGGATAAAAGCGTCTAACAAATGACATGTGATGTAATGGGAGAAAGTATTTCTGTCCCAGTGACGTCACGGACTGATACGGAAGTTGTAGTACCGCTGTTTGGCCACTGTGACTACCCGATTTGCACGTCTGCCCGATTTGTACTGCTCCAGCGTGAGTTGTTCCTCCATATATGGCGGACCAACTCGCGCAGTGCGAATCGGGTAGTCACAGACACAACGGATATTTTCCTCAGAGTCCGGCGCACTTCCTTGGGGCTTGGTTAGATCCAGTTTTGGTTGTTTTAGCTCCGCCCACTAGGATTTAGGCCACTCCCCTCCACCTGTTAACCCTCGCCTGTCTGTCTGTCTGTCCTCAGACTGTCTACCCCTCCAGACGCTGCACCCACACAGATGACTCCGCCCTCTTTATGGTAAGGGTTTGGCCACGCCTCCAAAAATCTACTTACAGCTAAAAACGTTAAAAAAAGACACAAAGAAAATAAACTACTTTACTAACAACATCTAAAAAAGTACTGACGGACCATTCAAACAAAATACTAAAAATCACAAATATAAAAAAATATGATCAATAACTGACATCTTGAAAAACACCTGTTAAGCCCCAAAGACCCCCTCGGCGGGTCTTCTTTTTTTTTTTTTTTTCACGACACTGTGTCTCAGGGCTTCTTAATATTTAAAAAACTATGAATGTGTCATACCCTCCTAACGGGAAGAAACTCAGCTAACTGATGATACGAACCATTTTTACCGAAACAAAACACAAGTCTCACAAGAAGGGTCTAAATGAGCCCTGAGCGAAAACATGCTGACGCACTTAGCACAGAACTCTAGCTATACCGATCTATATACTTATCGGATCTGCACACACAAGCTTAGCTAACATCCTGAGATTCCACAGATTATAGAAATATAAGTATCATCACTGAGCGATCAGAACTCGCGACAGGGGAAGCAAATACAGACAACACAGAGATATGCTCACCTTTAGCTGTTATTCTGATCAAAAGTCGTGTTCAATGGCATTAAAACGAGACAAAACGCGGCTGAAGGTTAATCCATAGGTTAATCCATAGGTTAATCCATAGGTTAATCCATAGGTTAATCCATAGGTTAATCCATAGGTTAATCCATAGGTTAATCCATAGGTTAATCCATAGGTTAATCCAATGTGTCTGTCAGTGTCTGTCACTTTGAATAAATGATTGATAATCCATAATTCCATTTTTATGCAAAAATAGGAGAATAAATGTTAGCTGCTAATGGTAGCCACCAGAGTTATCGCAGCTTCCGGTTTTGGCTACGCGTCACTCTCACTCCTTATTTGGTAACGTGTGTGTGTATGTGGAACCTCCCCTCGATTCCATTGGCTCTAGCTGTAAAAAAGAGGTGTCAACCATCAAAATCGAGCAAGGGGGGCCAGAGATATGGAAAATCCACCCAAATGACCCCAGAAGTGGTTTCTTTTTGCTAAACCTCTCTAAAAAGGTCAAATGTCACTTGTTTTGCATCAATCTTGATACAGGGTACTTATTATATGTTGTACTTTGGATTCCTAAAGCTTTTAGTCTACTAACTCATCATCCAAGGGTAGTTTTCACTATAAGTAATGTTTTTTTTTGGACGGACACTATAATTTAATTTTTTTTTACTATGTTCAATCTGAATTTACTTTAAAATAAAAAACATCTATATTGATTCTGACTTTTCTAAATCCAACTCACTTATCATTACTTTGAGAAAAAAGATTATTAATTTTCTCCTTTTAGAAGATATGGGCATTTGTTCTGGGAATGGCATTTTAGAGCCTGAGACCTTGAAAACAGGCTCAGGGCTCAACAGGTTAACAAATCTAAAAGTAAATGTAGTAAAACTAAATCATTATAAAATAAACTAACAACTAAACATTTGAATATTTCACACATGTTGAATCAACCCAACGCTTGCTGCTGGTTTCTGAACATGTTGTTGTTGTTGTTGTTATTATTAATGTGTGTTGTTGTGTGCAGGGAGAGGACCGGGCCGCTCTCTCTCCTACAGGTGAGACACTCTCTCACTCTCACATCTCTCACTCCTTCTGATTGGTCCATTTGACTCATTGATTTTCCTTTCAGCCAATCAGTCGCCTTCCTACCCGAGCCCCGGGGGTGTGGCCTCCTGCCGGACCAATCAGAGGCCGGAGAGCGTCCTGTTCCGCATCGGGCAGAAAGAAGAGCGGAGGAAAGGTGAGGCGTCTCCTCTGTCTCCTTTCCTAACCTCCTCTGTCTCCTTTCCTAACCCCCTCTGTCTCCTTTCCTAACCTCCTCTGTCTCCTTTCCTGACCTCCTCTGTCTCCTTTCCTGACCTCCTCTGTCTCCTTTCCTAACCTCCTCTGTCTCCTTTCCTGACCTCCTCTGTCTCCTTTCCTGACCTCCTCTGTGTCCTTTCCTGACCTCCTCTGTCTCCTTTCCTGACCTCCTGTCTCCTTTCCTAACCTCCTCTGTCTCCTTTCCTGACCTCCTGTCTCCTTTCCTAACCTCCTCTCCTACTGTGAGGAGGGGAGGGGTAAAGAATCATGTGATGCATTCAGGTGGAGGCGCAGAGAGTAGGAGGTGTGTGTGACGGTGTGTGTGTGTGTTTCAGGTGACACTGCTCCACAGGAGGCTCCTCCCCCTCCCCCCCCCCCCCTCCTCTCATTGGAGAAGACGCTGTGCTGGTGGAGCAGCTCAGGAAGGTGAGCTTCATTAGTGTCTTAAATGTATTGATCGTTGCAGAACATCGAGGCGCGTCTGAAGGTGTCTCTACAGATTATTAATGATTGAATGTATTGATCGTTGCAGAACATCGAGGCGCGTCTGAAGGTGTCTCTACAGATTATTAATGATTGAATGTATTGATCGTTGCAGAACATCGAGGCCCGTCTGAAGGTGTCTCTTCCGAGCGACCTCGGCGCCGCGCTGACCGACGGCGTGGTGCTTTGTCATCTGGCCAATCACGTGAGGCCGCGCTCCGTGCCCAGCATCCACGTGCCCTCCCCCGCTGTGGTGAGCCCAGGATCAATACATCATTATTATTAATATTATTATTATTATTATTAATCTTTATTTTTTTATTATTTTATATTATCATATTATTATTTGATCATATATCTTCTTTTTTTTTACTATTATGAATGTATTTTTGTTATCGTCTTTAAAGGTGGGGTAGGTAAGTTTGAGAAACCGGCTCGAGATACACTTGTTGTTATATTCCATGGAATGCTCTTAACATCCCGATAGCAATGAATATCTGAAGTGCTTTGACACAAAATCCATAAATATATATCATCTGTGGAAGCTGTAGTTCTGTAAAAAGCACGACCAATCATCTGAGCCGGCCCGGCTAAAATAACTGGATGGCCTACCTGCCTGTCAGCCTTCCATCTGTGCACAAACTTATCTCGTGCCCTCATTGGTCATGTGCGCGTTCGTGTGTGTTGGACAGTGGCGTTTTTATATGTACAAAAGTGGTGGGGCACAAAAAACGTAGATGTCTATATATAAGCTTCTGCAGTGACGTGCAGTGAGGTTCATGGCTGCTGAGGCACTGGCACTGACTCTTCAGGTTTACACATATTATATTTTGACCTAAACCAAAATATAATATTATTTTCAAAAGCTTTTTTTGTCTGATGCTTCGATTAATTTTAAACGGACAGTTCAACAAAAGGATACCCAAAAAATGTAATTTTATCATTTAAATATTGAATTGTTCTCTCTTAGTAAGATCCCATTTTCAATCAAATGGCGGTCTTACCTTGACTTGAAGATGAAGTCCATTTGCCTATCCTTCTGGACAAACATTTCTATTACTTTTTTGTAAAAGTCCTCCTTATCTTCTTGTAGTTTCAAAAGTCTAAAAAAATTATAAAAGTAGGGTAGACATGTGGATATTATCCGGCTAATCAAAACGTGCATTTATCTAACAGGTACGTTTCCCACAGATCTTATTTCGAGCTATTTTCTAAAATTCTATGGAGAAATCTCATTGCTTTTTTGTCGAGGGAAGCCATGCGCAGCTTACTTCCTGGTTTTAGGACGCGCCCCTGCAGCTCTCTCGTCTCCTCTTCACACAGCACACTTTTCGCGGCACACGTACTTACAGCCAATCAGCTCTGAATGATTTGAGATGACGTATGGTGGGGATGGCAGCTCTGTGCCCCTATGGTCATTATTTTTTTGACACACACATTAAATAGGAAAATACTCTGAGCATGCGCAGTGTAGTTTTTACAGTCACCGTTGACTTCACAGCGAGAGGAAGGGGCATGATCAGGTTTTGTCCCACATGGCTCTAAACAGCTCAATAGGCACACACTGTGACTGTAGACACACTAATTAGAAGAACACAGACTAAAACAGCAATGTACAGACGAATCAGATGATTAAACATGATCTGAAAATATATTTTATATATATATATATTTTTTTTTTGCATTTTTTGTAATCATTATTTGTAATACTTTCTGCTGACACTAGGTGGGGCTGTGCCTGCCCCTAATGACCAGTCGCCACTGGTGTTGGAGGAGGGGCTCTGTAAGGAAGTGGCAGATTTTTTCCGGCTGTGTATTTTCAAATTCTAGCGCACTCGAGCCGGTTTCTCCAACTTACCTACCCCACCTTTAAATGTTGTTATTATTATTGATCCTGAGTGGACCTGCTTGTTCTAACAGTAATCCTGTTTCCCTGCAGCCTAAACTCACGATGGCCAAATGTCGACGAAACGTAGAGAACTTCCTGGAGGCGTGTCGCAGGATCGGAGTCCCTCAGGTAACCTGTCTCACCTGTGGTTAACGTCATGTGATCAGTGACAGCATTTAGATCAGAGTCCCTCAGGTAACCTGTCTCACCTGTGGTTAACGTCATGTGATCAGTGACAGCATTTAGATCAGGGTCCCTCAGGTAACCTGTCTCACCTGTGGTTAACGTCATGTGATCAGTGACAGCATTTAGATCAGAGTCCCTCAGGTAACCTGTCTCACCTGTGGTTAACGTCATGTGATCAGTGACAGCATTTAGATCAGGGTCCCTCAGGTAACCTGTCTCACCTGTGGTTAACGTCATGTGATCAGTCACAGCATTTAGATCAGGGTCCCTCAGGTAACCTGTCTCACCTGTGGTTAACGTCATGTGATCAGTCACAGCATTTAGATCAGAGTCCCTCAGGTAACCTGTCTCACCTGTGGTTAACGTCATGTGATCAGTGACAGCATTTAGATCAGGGTCCCTCAGGTAACCTGTCTCACCTGTGGTTAACGTCATGTGATCAGTCACAGCATTTAGATCAGGGTCCCTCAGGTAACCTGTCTCACCTGTGGTTAACGTCATGTGATCAGTCACAGCATTTAGATCAGAGTCCCTCAGGTAACCTGTCTCACCTGTGGTTTAATGATGTCACCTCCTCAGGTAGAACCAGGTGTGACAGCAGTGAGAGATACAGAGTAAAGATGATCTGACCTGTTTCCTCTTCCTCCTCCTCCTCCTCATCATCATGTTTATTCCATCTCTCCTGAACCATTTTCCTCCAACTAATACAGGACCTGTAGGCCTTGACTTAGTCCTAGTCTTTATCTGGGACTTGTAGGCCTTGACTTAGTCCTAGTCTTTATCTAGTCTTTATCTGGGACTTGTAGGCCTTGACTTAGTCCTAGTCTTTATCTAGTCTTTATCTGGGACGTGTTGGCCTTGACTTATTCCTAGTCTTTATGTGGGACTTGTTGGCCTGGACTTAGACCTGGTCTTTATCTGGGACTTTTAGGCCTTGACTTAGTCCTAGTCTTTATGTGGGACTTGTTGGCCTGGACTTAGACCTGGTCTTTATGTGGGACTTGTAGGCCTTGACTTAGTCCTAGTCTTTATGTGGGACTTGTAGGCCTTGACTTAGTCCTAGTCTTTATCTGGGACTTGTAGGCCTTGACTTAGTCCTAGTCTTTATGTGGGACTTGTAGGCCTTGACTTAGTCCTAGTCTTTATTTAGTCTTTATCTGGGACCTGTTGGCCTTGACTTAGTCCTAGTCTTTATCTGGGACTTGTAGGCCTTGACTTAGTCCTAGTCTTTATGTGGGACTTGTAGGCCTTGACTTAGTCCTAGTCTTTATCTGGGACTTGTAGGCCTTGACTTAGTCCTAGTCTTTATCTGGGACTTGTAGGCCTTGACTTAGTCCTAGTCTTTATGTGGGACTTTTAGGCCTTGACTTAGTCCTAGTCTTTATGTGGGACTTGTAGGCCTTGACTTAGTCCTAGTCTTTATCTTGGACTTGTAGGCCTTGACTTAGTCCTAGTCTTTATCTGGGACTTGTTGGCCTGGACTTAGACCTAGTCTCTATCTGGGACTTGTTGGCCTTGACTTAGTCCTAGTCTTTATCTGGGACGTGTAGAACTTGACTTAGACCTGGTCTTTATCTGGGACTTGTAGGCCTTGTCTTAGTCCTAGTCTTTATCTGGGACTTGTTGGCCTGGACTTAGACCTGGTCTTTATCTTGGACTTGTAGGCCTTGACTTAGTCCTAGTCTTTATCTGGGACTTGTAGGCCTTGACTTAGTCCTAGTCTTTATCTGGGACTTGTTGGCCTTGACTTAGTCCTAGTCTTTATCTGGGACTTGTTGGCCTTGACTTAGTCCTAGTCTTCATCTGGGACTTGTATGCCTTGACTTAGTTCTAGTCTTTATCTGGGACTTGTTGGCCTGGACTTAGTCCTAGTCTGTATGTGGGACTTGTAGGCCTTGACTTAGACCTGGTCTTTATCTTGGACTTGTAGGCCTTGACTTAGTCATAGTCTTTATCTGGGACTTGTAGGCCTTGACTTAGTCCTAGTCTTTATTTAGTCTTTATCTTGGACTTGTAGGCCTTGACTTAGTCCTAGTCTTTATCTGGGACTTGTAGGCCTTGACTTAGACCTAGTCTTTATCTAGTCTTTATCTGGGACTTGTGGCCTTGACTTAGACCTAGTCTTTATCTAGTCTTTATCTGGGACTTGTGGCCTTGACTTAGACCTAGTCTTTATCTGGGACTTGTTCGCCTTGACGTAGACCTAGTCTTTATCTTTATCCGGGACTATTTGGCCTTGACTTAGACCTGGTCTTTATCTAGTCTTTATCTGGGACTTGTTGGCCTGGACTTAGTCCTAGTCTTTATCGGGGACTTGTAGGCCTTGACTTAGACCTAGTCTTTATCTGGGACTTGTTGGCCTGGACTTAGTCCTAGTCTTTATCTGGGACTTGTTGGCCTGGACTTAGTCCTAGTCTTTATCTGGGACTTGTTGGCCTTGACTTAGTCCTAGTCTTTATCTGGGACTTGTTGGCCTTGACTTAGTCCTAGTCTTTATCTGGGACTTGTTGGCCTTGACTTAGACCTAGTCTTTATCTGGGACTTGTTGGCCTTGACTTAGACCTAGTCTCTATCTGGGACTTGTTGGTCTTGACTTAGTCCTAGTCTCTATCTGGGACTTATTGGCCTGGACTTAGACCTAGTCTTTATCTGGGACTTGTTGGCCTGGACTTAGACCTAGTCTCTATCTGGGACTTGTTGGCCTTGGCTTAGTCCTAGTCTTTATCTGGGACTTGTAGGCCTTGACTTAGACCTAGTCTCTATCTGGGACTTGTTGGCCTGGACTTAGACCTAGTCTCTATCTGGGACTTGTTGGCCTGGACTTAGACCTAGTCTTTATCTGGGACTTGTTGGCCTTGACTTAGACCTAGTCTTTATCTAGTCTCTACCTGGGACTCTCTCTCTCTCTCTCTTCTCCTCCTGGATAACTCTCTCTCTCTCTCCTCTCTCTCTCTCTCTCTCTTTTCCTCCTGGATAACTCTCTCTCTCTCTCTCTCTTCTCCTCCTGGATAACTCTCTCTCTCTCTCTCTTCTCCTCCTGGATAACTCTCTCTCTCTCTCTTCTCCTCCTGGATAACTCTCTCTCTCTCTCTTCTCCTCCTGGATAACTCTCTCTCTCTCTCTTCTCCTCCTGGATAACTCTCTCTCTCTCTCTTCTCCTCCTGGATAACTCTCTCTCTCTCTCTTCTCCTCCTGGATAACTCTCTCTCTCTCTCTCTTCTCCTCCTGGATAACTCTCTCTCTCTCTCTCTTCTCCTCCTGGATAACTCTCTCTCTCTCTCTCTCTCTCTTTCTCTGGATAACTCTCTCTACTCTCTCTCTTTCTCCTCCTGGATAATCTCTCATCTATTCCTTCTGTTCTCCTCCTGGATTAATCTCTCTTCTCTCTCTATCTTCTCTCCTGGATAACTCTCTCTCTCTCTCTCTCTCTCTCTTTTCTCCTGGATAACTCTCTCTCTCTCTCTCTCTTCTCCTCCTGGATAACTCTCTCTCTCTCTCTCTTCTCCTGGATAACTCTCTCTCTCTCTCTTCTCCTCCTGGATAACTCTCTCTCTCTCTCTCTCTTCTCCTCCTGGATAACTCTCTCTCTCTCTTCTCCTCCTGGATAACTCTCTCTCTCTCTCTTCTCCTCCTGGATAACTCTCTCTCTCTCTCTTCTCCTCCTGGATAACTCTCTCTCTCTCTCTCTTCTCCTCCTGGATAACTCTCTCTCTCTTTTCTCTCCTGGATAACTCTCTCTCTCTCTCTTCTCCTCCTGGATAACTCTCTCTCTCTCTCTCTTCTCCTCCTGGATAACTCTCTCTCTCTCTCTCTTCTCCTCCTGGATAACTCTCTCTCTCTCTCTCTTCTCCTCCTGGAAACTCTCTCTCTCTCTTCTTCCTCCTGGGAAACTCTCTCTCTCTCTCTTCTCCTCCTGGATAACTCTCTCTCTCTCTCTCTCTTTTCTCCTCCTGGATAACTCTCTCTCTCTCTCTTCTCCTCCTGGATAACTCTCTCTCTCTCTCTTCCTCCTGGATAACTCTCTCTCTCTCTCTCTTCTCCTGGATAAACTCTCTCTCTCTCTTCTCCTCCTGGATAACTCTCTCTCTCTCTCTTCTCTCCTGGAAACTCTCTCTCTCTCTCTTCTCCTCCTGGATAACTCTCTCTCTTCTTCTCCTCCTGGATAACTCTCTCTCTCTCCTCTCTTTCTCCTTGGATAAACTCTCTCTTCTCTCTCTTCTCCTCCTGGATAACTCTCTTCTCTCTCTCTTCTCCTCCTGGATAAACTCTCTCTCTCTTTCTCTCTCTTTCTCCTGGATAACTCTCTCTCTCTCTCTCTTCTCCTCCTGGATACTCTCTTCTCTCTTCTCTGGATTATAACTCCTCTCTCTTCTCCTCCCTGGATAACTCTCTCTCTCTCTCTCTCTCTCTCTCTCTTTTCCTCCTGGATAACTCTCTCTCTCTCTCTCTCTCTTCTCCTCCTGGATAACTCTCTCTCTCTCTCTTCTCCTCCTGGTCTTCTCCTCCTGGATAACTCTCTCTCTCTCTCTTCTCCTCCTGGATAACTCTCTCTCTCTCTCTCTTCTCCTCCTGGATAACTCTCTCTCTCTCTCTCTCTCTCTTTTCTCCTGGATAACTCTCTCTCTCTCTCTCTTCTCCTCCTGGATAACTCTCTCTCTCTCTCTTCTCCTGGATAACTCTCTCTCTCTTCTCCTCCTGGATAACTCTCTCTCTCTCTCTCTCTCTCTCTCTCTCTCTCTTTTCCTCCTGGATAACTCTCTCTCTCTCTCTCTCTCTCTCTTCTCCTCCTGGATAACTCTCTCTCTCTCTCTTCTCCTCCTGGTCTTCTCCTCCTGGATAACTCTCTCTCTCTCTCTTCTCCTCCTGGATAAACTCTCTCTCTCTCTCTCTCTCTCTCTTCTCCTCCTGGATAACTCTCTCTCTCTCTCTCTCTCTCTCTCTCTCTCTCTCTTTCTCCTCCTGGATAACTCTCTCTCTCTCTCTTCTCCTCCTGGATAACTCTCTCTCTCTCTCTTCTCCTCCTCGATAACTCTCTCTCTCTCTCTCTCTTCTCCTCCTGGATAACTCTCTCTCTCTCTCTCTTCTCCTCCTGGATAACTCTCTCTCTCTCTCTTCTCCTCCTGGATAACTCTCTCTCTCTCTCTCTTTTCTCCTGGATAACTCTCTCTCTCTCTCTCTTCTCCTCCTGAATAACTCTCACTCTCTCTCTCTTCTCCTCCCTGGATAACTCTCTCTCTCTCTCTTCTCCTCCTGGATAACTCTCTCTCTCTCTCTTCTCCTCCTGGATAACTCTCTCTCTCTCTCTCTTTTCTCCTCCTGGATAACTCTCTCTCTCTCTCTCTTTTCTCCTCCTGGATAACTCTCTCTCTCTCTCTCTTCTCCCTCCTGGATAACTCTCTCTCTCTCTCTCTCTTCTCCTCCTGGATAACTCTCTCTCTCTCTCTCTTCTCCTCCTGGATAACTCTCTCTCTCTCTCTCTTCTCCTCATCAGCTCACTCTGTTTTGATTTGCTCCTTTAATCCCTTATGTTTTCATGATTACTGTTGTTTTACTCCTTATTTTATTTTTACCATCCGTTGACCCTCCTTTCCGTTGTTGTCCCCCCCCCTCGACCCCCCCCCCCCTCCCTCCATGCTTCTTCTTCTTCGGTGGTGTATGTAGACTCAGCTGTGTCTTCCTCTGCACATCCTGGAGGAGCGAGGGCTCCCCCTGGTGGCTGGGACGGTGGCCGCGCTGCTGGAGCTGGCCCCCCCCCCCGACACCCCGTCACCCCCGGACACCCCCCCAGCATGTAGACCCCCCCCCTCACACACACACACACACACACACACACACTCAGTACAGAAACTGATCCCAGAGCAGCTGACGGAGAGACCCGCTGAACCTGAAACAAACAATAACAAACAACAATGTCATCATAATGCTACGTAAATAAAGAGGGGTAGCAACGAGCTAACTTCATCATAATGCTACATAAACAAAGAGGGGTAGCAACGAGCTAACTTCATCATAATGCTACATAAACAAAGAGGGGTAGCAACGAGCTAACTTCATCATAATGCTACATAAACAAAGAGGGGTAACAACGAGCTAACTTCATCATAATGCTACATAAACAAAGAGGGGTAGCAACGAGCTAACTTCATCATAATGCTACATAAATAAAGAGGGTTAGCAACGAGCTAACTTCATCATAATGCTACATAAACAAAGAGGGGTAGCAACGAGCTAACTTCATCATAATGCTACATAAATAAAGAGGGTTAGCAACGAGCTAACTTCAGGTGGAACTCAGACACGTTCCTCGTCTAGATTGACTTCATATGGCAACATCGAAAAAGCTCTTACGTTTCCTTAGAGTTTAGATCTTCAGGATGGAGGTCGTTTTGTTGTAAGCTAAATGCTAACGGTGGCTAACTACTAACGGTGGCCAAATGCTAACGCTGGCTAACTGCTAGCTGTGGCTAACTGCTAACGGTGGCTAACTGCTGTCTGTTACACACTTGTTGTGCTAGGCTAGGCTAATGTCTTCATGGCTTCAGTTTAAATGATTGAGCTTTGATTGTATTCATGGATTTCAAAACACTCAGAGCTCAGATTTCATGAGATATTTTGACGCTAAACAACATTAAATCTTTAAAACTAGAGAAATATTCTCATTAAAGTCTTTAAGGAACGTCCAGTTGATTTGGATACTAAGCTAATGTGGCTAAATGCTAACTTTGGCATTACCAAGAAAGTTCTTCCTTTTTATAAAAGTAGGTTTAGATAACGTGATGCTAACTGCTAATGATGGCTAAAGGTACAGCAGATTGTTGAGATGACACTAACGTAGCTTGGTGCTAATATTAGCAAACATTATGAACCTTGTTGGTTTGGAGATTAAGCTAACACAGCTAGCTGTAAACTGTATCTGATATTAGCCTACTTGGCTTAAGGATGAAGCTAAAGTAGTTCTATTGGTTTAGAGTTAACACCAACAATGCTAATGGCTAGCTTTAAACACAAATGTACAGTAGATTATCTAAATACATGTTAGCTAACACTATGGACCCAGAAGTTCTAGAGGCTAGCTAACAAGCTAACGTAGCTAGCTATTAAACTACAAGATTTTGAGCTGAAGCTAATGTAGCTCTTTTCTAACTTAATAGCTTTCCAGCTAATGTAGCACCTTAGCTAATGTTTACTTTTTCAGTGGAAACCATTGTAGCGTAGCGCTATCATAACATTAAGATTATAAACTGAAGCTAGTTTAGCTCAGTGCTAATGCTAGCTAACATCGCTTGGTCTCTCCGTCAGATCCAAACTCTCCTGAGCTCTGATTGGATGTCAGTGACGTCATCGATCATGTGATGAGCATCTCTGGGTCACCTGACTGCAGTGAACGATCATGTGCTGCAGGTCAGAGGTCATTCATGAGAGGCCTCTTTCTGTTGCATTCTGGGACGTGTTCTATGTTGAGAAAGGTGACACTAAAACTGTGTGGACTCTTCTACAGTTTTTACTAAATATATGTGTACAAATATACTCTGTAAATATATACATATATATATACTGTATATATGTGTGTGTGTGTGTGTTGCCATGAACACACACAGCATCAGTCTGAGGTCAAAGGTCAAGCTGGAACCCGTCAGCAAAGGAAAACATTCAATAATATATTCAACCTTTATTGATACAGCGACACAGTTACAGCTGCTGCATCATTAAGACTCACCTGTTCACCTGCAGGTGCTACTACACCTGAGAATCTGTTATTACATACACCCAGATGTTCCTGGACTCGCTCAGACACATCTTCAGCAACTTGACCACACATGCAGCATCTAGAGAACATTCAGCTAGAGACCAGGGGACACTAAAGAGTGACGCACACAGCTGGGAGACCAGGGGACACTAAAGAGTGACACACACAGCTGGGAGACCAGGGGACACTAAAGAGTGACGCACACAGCTGGGAGACCAGGGGACACTAAAGAGTGACGCACACAGCTGGGAGACCAGGGGACACTAAAGAGTGACGCACACAGCTGGGAGACCAGGGGACACTAAAGAGTGACGCACACAGCTGGGAGACCAGGGGGACACTGAAGAGTGACGCACACAGCTGGAGACCAGGGGACACTAAAGAGTGACGCACACAGCTGGGAGACCAGGGGACACTAAAGAGTGACGCACACAGCTGGGAGACAAGGGGACACTAAAGAGTGACGCACACAGCTGGGAGACAAGGGACACTAAAGAGTGACGCACCACAGCTGGGAGACCAGGGGACACTAAAGAGTGACGCACACAGCTGGGAGACCAGGGGACACTAAAGAGTGACGCGCACAGCTGGGAGACCAGGGGACACTAAAGAGTGACGCACACAGCTGGGAGACAAGGGGACACTAAAGAGTGACGCACACAGCTGGGAGACAAGGGACACTAAAGAGTGACGCACACAGCTGGGAGACCAGGGGACACTAAAGAGTGACGCACACAGCTGGGAGACCAGGGGACACTAAAGAGTGACGCACACAGCTGGGAGACCAGGGGACACTAAAGAGTGACGCACACAGCTGGGAGACCAGGGGACACTAAGAGTGACGCACACAGCTGGGAGACCAGGGGACACTAAAGAGTGACGCACACAGCTGGGAGACAAGGGGACACTAAAGAGTGACGCACACAGCTGGGAGACCAGGGGACACTAAAGAGTGACGCACACAGCTGGGAGACCAGGGGACACTAAAGAGTGACGCACACAGCTGGGAGACCAGGGGACACTAAAGAGTGACGCACACAGCTGGGAGACAAGGGGACACTTAAGAGTGACGCACACAGCTGGGAGACCAGGGGACACTAAAGAGTGACGCACACAGCTGGGAGACCAGGGGACACTAAAGAGTGACGCACACAGCTGGGAGACCAGGGGACACTTAAGAGTGACGCACACAGCTGGGAGACAAGGGGACACTAAAGAGTGACGCACACAGCTGGGAGACAAGGGGACACTTAAGACGGAGCGCTTGGTGACGTTCAGGATGTCTCTGTTGTTGTTGTTGTTGTTGTCTAAACGCTGCTTGTGTTGTTACCTTTTCAGCTCAGATCACTTCTGCTCCAGGCTTCAAGTTGTGTTCAATTGTATTTTCTCTCACAGGATTTCTGAGCGTCTGAAACATGAAAGGTGTTTTTTATTATAGTTATTTGATGACTCTAATCTGAAGGAGCTCCGCTGACGGGACCAGAGTTTAGTTTTTAATTTAAACTTTAAACATTTTATATTTCCATGTTTTGATAAGTGCTCGTGCTGCGTTCAGGGGATGTGGGACACCTTCAGTGTGTTCCTGTTGCACCTGAACGCAGCATCACCTGAGGACAGCGTGTACAGATGTTTCCTGTTCCTTTTCTTAGTGGGTTTCTCCTGCAGCGGTGACAGGGGTCATGTGATGGAGGTCATGTGATGGAGGTCATGTGATGGAAGTCATGTGATGGAAGTCACGTGACAGGGGTCATGTGATGGAGGTCATGTGACTTCCTCTAAAGGACATTCCCCCGTTTCTTCGTGGAGGACAGACTCACCGTTTTTAAGTTTTACATTTTGTCCACTTTGTGATATTTCTTGCTGAAAGTGTTTAAAAGATTTGAAGAGTTTGAAATGCTTTGAATAAATATTTTAATGTGACTGAGATCTCAAGAACTCGTTATTTATTATTAGAGTTATTTATTATTATAGTTATTTATTTCAGATGAAGCTCAAAAGTATCCTCTTTGACACACTTTAAAAACAGAGACTACACCTTCCTTTAAGACGTCAGTATGAGAGAGTCCTCTCCCCTAGGGAGCCCAGACCCCCCTCTCCCCCCTCTCCCCCAGTGAGCACAGAACCTGCCCCACAGCCCACACATCCAGACCCCCCTGCAGATGGTGGATCAGTGTGTAGCATGCTCCACCCTCAGACGCGCTGCCACCAGCCCCCTCAGACAGAGCACTGCATCCGTCCATCCCACTCCAGCAACTTGGTTCTTTCTACGTTTCCAGATCGCTCATTTTGCATTAGCAAACAAGAAATGTATCAGTACTAAAGTTTCCCTCTTCTTCAGGGTGTATTTGGGCCAAGGACACAAAGTGGTATGGAGAAAACCTCCCCAACCCTTTCACCCACTCCTGTAACATTCTTTTTAGACCAGCTAATCTGGGACAGGACACCACTAAATGCTCCAATGTTTCTGCCATAAAACAGAACGGACAGCCCCCCCTTGTGCCCGGGTCAAAATGAGCTCTGTATTTGTTAGTGGCTATTGCTCCGTGTATGATTCTCCATTGGATGTCTGCCATCCGTTTCTCAACTGGAGCTTTATACAGGACCCTCCAGCTGCCCTGAGGGGAAGAGCCCAAGCCAAACACATCCGTCCACCTCGACTCTCTGACGCCTGGAAGAGAGCTGAGGGTTAGCACCTTTACGCAGCTAAGGTAAAGCTGCTTCCCACTGCAGGAGCTGAACGTTCCAGGTGTTAGAGTCCCCAGTGATAGCAGGAGACCATCCTCCTCTCTCCATTCCCCCACCGCAGGACCCTCACTCAAGGCAGGAAAGACATACTCGTGTCCCTTTCCCCACTGGTCAGCCAGATCTGCATCCAGAGCAAAAGTCCGGTGGGATGGCGACAGCGACTGCCACACCTCATCTACCAAGTTCTCCAGAACTCGGGTTGATTGAATGCCCGTCACCTCAGCCAGTGTTTCTGTGGAGACCCCCGTCAAATGGCCAAGTTTTACCACTCCCGCTTCAATGAACGCGTTCTTTAGGGTGGCCGAAGAGAAAAGGGTTCCAGAAAGAAAACCAGTGTCAAACAGTGGCTCCTCAAACAGCCACATCCCAGGCCGGGGGTCGGGTGGTCTGGTGAAACTCAGAATCTTCCAGGCATTGATGACTGAGCAGTAAAAAGGTGTAAGTCCAGTTATCTTGTACGCAGGGGCCTTCAGCAGAAACAGGTGTTTATCAAAACCAAAGCC